TCTGGAGTAATAATCAACCATTTTAAAAATTCATAATTGAAAAAATAAGACAAAAGTAAAATAGATATGGAAGCAGGGGTAGTCAAATTGTACAACTGTCCTGTTTGAAGCTCACTTGAATACTTATTTTACACAGGAGTTTGGTGAGAAAAAAACTGATACCTTGACTCAGGTTGAAAGAGGAAAATGCTTTTTTGAAAAACTCATTACAGCAAAGGCTTAAGTGCTCCAGGGATTATAGACACAAATAAAACACCAGCACCAGACAGTCCCTCAATCTGTCATTTCTTTCAAAGAAATGAAGGATGTTACCCATATCCCATCAGTGCAGATCTTTCAGGAGTCACTGCAAATAGTAACAGTCTACTGAAGGCAAGCAATGGAGTTCCAGATATTCATGATGTACTGTACCATGAATTCTGAAGATTAAAGAAACATTTTGTCTGCCGACGCAATAGAAAATGTCTAAACTTATTTGGTGGTACATCATATGCAGCATTACAATGACCCAAACACATGGGTAATGCAATCAAGGAGTTAGTCAGGAGATAAATAGGGAAAATTTTAGATTGGCCAAGCATTTTTATCCAAACTGAGAATACACTGTATACTCATTTTACATTCTGAAAACTGCATCCAAACACCCCAAAATAATTTAATAATAATAACAACTCAAAATGGCTGCAGTAAGATCTTGTCAAATCATCTCAAATGGTTAGTCAAATAATTGAGTGAGCTCAATGGGTTGCAGACTTCATACAGTTATTTCCTCACAAGTGATATGAAACCTAATGCTGACTTTAAAAAAACCCACAAATCTCTTCAGTCTTGAACAGAAGAAATTATAAGGGAATCTGATACGTTCAAAAGTTCTACAACTCAACCCAAATGGTTATTTTCTGCCCAGCAGCATAACTAAAACTTGAGGGCATTACTATATATATTAGACCAAAGGACTGTGGATGTCTGAAACAAGATGCCAACCCATGTTACCGTCACTGATTCAGAGGCAACCTCGAAGAAGCGGATGAATAAAATGGCTGAATCAGTTAGCTGCAAGCAACCATGATGCGTTGAGTGGTCACCTCTCAGTTTCAGACTGACTTTCATAACCGAATGAAAAGAGGTGGCAAATCAGGGATGCAATTTTCATAACTTTTTTCTAATTTACCAGGGAAATTTTAAGAAGTTTTCCAGCTCGAGTATATTTTAAAACATAATGTTGCCACTATTTTTCTAAGTAAATTCACCACACTCAGCCCATTTTTCCTTCAAACAAGCACTTCCCTGATAACAGAGCTCTTCCGATTGCTCCTCTGCTTGTCAACAGCAGACCTGAGGTAATCAGTCTCTAGAAATGCTGTGCAGACTTCAAATGTTGGAGTCTACTGCCACACAGCTGTGTATTGCAATACATTTCTTCCTTGCACAAAACATTGAAGACCATATGTTTCAGAAATCCATCATCTAGGAATAACCATAGGAAGAACAGAACAGCATTAGTTATACATAATAGGTGATATTGCTTAAATTAGGCATGAATTCTAATTATACTAGATATGTACAGTTTGAATAATTAAAAGACTGAAGAATGTGAGCTGTGAAACAATTTTAAATGCTGCTCACACATGAAGTGCAAGTATATAGATTTCCCCTAAGTATGCAAAGGCCTGTAACAGCATTTGATTTCCTCCTACTACAATTCAGATCCCTAAAAAAAGAAGTAGGATTAATGGCTGTCATTTGAAAATGTTATCCACTTAGCCATATATTATTACATATTATTTTATTCTTATGACTCAAATCATAAAGATTAATTTGGCATTAATGTTTGAAAAAAACAATCCAAATATCGGACACATTTCCAAGTGGAGGAGTTATTTACTCTGGGGAGCTCCATCAGAATGAAATCATTTTAGAATAGTTCACATGAGGACTGAGATAGAATAAATCACTGAGTCATGATGGTATGTTTCCCTGTTAGACTTGAGGAAATGACAAATATTATTGATAGACCCTTAACCAGGTTAGTTCCACTTTCACTATGGAAGGGAGTTGTACTCACAGATTGGAAAACTGCAAATACTGTATAAAGCTGATTCATAAAAAGGGGAGCAAAACTTAAAAAGGAAAGTATAGAGTGATTCGTCTTACTTCTGTTACTGGTAAAATCATAGATATTAATTAGGGTTAAACTAGAAGGATGGTGTTTTAGGAGACAGCTGTATATATTTAGGACAAAAATACTTATTTTAAAAAGGTTTTGGATCTTGATGAATTTTTTTTAATTAATTTTTAATTGTTTAATAAACCTGATAAAATTATTTGAGCATGCAACGGGGACAATTTGACATTATTAAACATTAGTTTAGCTTCATGATAAATTCTGTCACAGTAGGTTCATTCTGAACTACAACACAAACAAAAAAAGGTAATGGACTGATTTCAGTTGTTCTGTTAGAGGATTCTTATAAATTCTTAAGAGCTGTTGCTATTTGGAATAGGGACTTTAATGTTACAAAGGAAGAAAAATCCTGGGGGCAACATTTAGGACAATATGCCAAAAGCCCTGGCCATGCAGGCATTCTCAGAGCATCCTTGACTGCTCATACAGAATGCATGGAGCTACCCTCTTGTCCCATGTGTATGCTTCGTCCAGGGGACAGGTGGGCACCTGATGCACGTGTGGAACACATGAGTGCCCAGATGTGACATTTACTGGTCTATCATGCTTCTTCTTCTTCGCTCACTATTCCAAACAAGGATATCCCTTGCTCTCCCTGAGCACTTTTGCACATTGATCATTTGGGTCTTGCCCACTCACAGAGACAGCAGAGGATCTGGCTGGTTGGCTATTTTGGGTGTCTCTGCATTCCCCTCTGGCATCATCAGATCCTGGCCTGTCTTGGTGTTGACATGAAGCTCTGATCCATGGTGCCAGAGGAGTAAGGGAAGGTTGGAGTGCTGCAGCTGATACAGTTTAGCCCTTTTTCCACAGTGTTTCTCTCATACTTGTCTAATTTTGCTTAGGGGTCCTTTGGGTGGAAACTTGGAAGGATTAAAGTGATGGCAGGGGAAGAGTGGGGTGGGATAGGGGGTGGTGTTGTGCTGGACTGTTTTGTATCTATTTTGGTCTATTTTTAGAAACTTCTAATATAATAAAAAGCAGTTAATAAGAACTTCATAAACAGGACTTTCAATACCTGTAGACAGTTTTTACAAATCTTATATGTTTTCTACATATTATGCCTTTATATCAGACATTTAGAAATCAATGTTGCAAAAGGGATTTTGCTTTAATCCCTAGCATTACTCCTAGCATTGATGGTAACCAAAAACATTTCCATAACAGAACTGGTATCACAGGAAAAAGCACAAACATATACAAGGTGACACCATGGACTTGTCGATTCCAAACCATTTAGAACAAAACATTAATCAAGAGGACTTTTCATCTTTACAGCCATCAAATAAAGTCACTACAAAACTTATGTTGATTATAATGGCCTATAAAGAGTTTTAAAACTGGAAAATGTAGTAGAAAGAAATTATGGAAAATATAAAAGGAAAGATGCGGATTATATAAAGTATTATTTAAATGCATGTCTAATCACAATTCCATAAAACATTTAAAGATTGTTCTGTGGTACCCTGTTCTGAAACATCTGTAGAACAGAAATATCGACAGGAAAGAACAAAGTTTATAGCAAAACTTGCATGAAACCCCTTCTTGATCTTGAGAGAACAGGAAGCCAAAGTCTTATAAGAGACTTGTAGGCTGAGTGTAGAGGGATACAAAAACTGCAGTGCAGCTGAAGAATTAAGCTTGCTATTTTCATTTTTAAAGCATTGTTAACTAATCAGTAATATGTAATTCACAGTTTGAGATACAGAAACTCAGAATCTACTGTGACCCTGAGCACAACAATCGTGAAACATCCTGTGAAATACCTGGAACGGTAAGTATGAAAATATATTTTACACCAGTACACACATCTGATTCAATTATATTTTAAAATGCACATTGTTATTTTTTGTAACAAACAGCAGAGGTAATCATGTTCCAGTACCATGTTTGTTATATTTGTTCAGGGATATAAGACCATTGCCATTAAACTGAACTCCAGGCATTGCTTTTATACTGTAAGCGTAACCACTTTTTAACAAGAGAGATCATACGAGATATCAGAGGGACAGAATTTGTGGGGTATAGCAGAGTAGTTTTTGACATCTGCTGAAGTTCCATGTTCTTTCCTTAGAAAAGTCTCTAGTTTCCACATGGGTAACCTATTTATCACTATGTTGTATCCTTTCCTGGCTAGTAGCCTTTATTTTTAGACCATAGTTCCAGATTTTGCTTCAAGTGTTGGAAATGTGTTTTGTTTGGTTTACATCCCTGGGGCCCAGACGGGTAGTTCCTTCCACACGAAGGCGATGGGAGTGGGTGGGAAGTGGGAGGAAATGGCTTGAACCCCAGAGCAGGAAATGAGCTGAGTAACAGAGTTGAGATGTATCTGCAGATACTTGTTTTAATGTTAAAAGCACAATCAGGTTCTCCTGCCTATTTTTGTGGAGGCGCTTTTCTCAGTGACAGTCATAACTCCCATCTCCCTCACCACCATAATATTTAAACCTCTTTATTTTAATTTCACTATTTATTAGTTGGTTTGACTCTGCTAACTAACTGCCTGGCCCTGTGTTATTTTCCGGTGATCTCTCTCCTGATCTTTTTTCCCTGCAGTCCATGATTATTATTGTAAAGGCTTTTTCCACAATGATGCTTACAGCTTTATGAGAACGCCTGTCAAAATGTTTGCATCCTGTGCTCTATAGTCATTCCTTTGTATCTTTTCTGGGATTTTGAGACCAGTGACATGCTTGGCTGGTTTCCTTCTACTACAGATGTGAAACAAAGCCAGAATGAGTTTATACTTTCAGGATTCGCACTCTGTCTAGGAATGGTTTAAAGTCTTATCCCACCAAGTCAAAACAAACGATCAGCATGCAAAACACACAAATCCTTTAATTGCTTTTAGCCCAGTTTCTGTCGATTTAATTCCCTGGGTGGTAAGGTCTGTAAAATGCTGTGGTGTGACATGATTTCACTTTTTTTTTTATAGGATGGAGAGGTACGTATTTTGCCAGGTGGTAATACTATTATTGAAAAAAAAATGTTTTGAAAATTCATGGACAGTTTCCCAGCTCATGAGGTAAGTTTATCCTTTATTGTACATGTACTTCATCAGCTCAGTCACATGCTTAACCGTGCAGTTAAACAATCAGGCCTGCTGTAATCCAGTAGGGTCCTATTTAACTCACTTGCTCAACTGCATACTTGGAGTCAATTAAAAGAAAAAAAACTAATAAATACTAGTGGTCTCCTGGCTCTGGCAAACAGTCTTAGCTGCCACTTACAGGACCATGATCTTGGAGGAGGATTAATAGATCAGACTGAGTTTAACTCCTAAGTGACTCTTGTATCTCTGTTGCAGTGTGCAATCAATCCTGGAGATATTGATATTGAGTCAACTCCAGCTCCTTGCATATGCCCTCCTGGACAACCTGGGCCGCCTGGCTTGAAGGTCAGTTAACCAAGATGATAACAGCAAATGGGAGGAAGAGTAATAAAATCATGTGTAAACATTGTGTGATGCTAACCAAGTGCAAAGCACTGTCCTTATCACAATTAAAACTGAGCTGTACCAGCCAGGAACTGGCAAAGCCAACTACAGCTAAAAAAGTTGAACGCTAAAATAGGTTTTTAGGCAAATTCTAATTTTTTAAAATGATTTTAGATTGATTTTAACCGTGTTAAAGGCTACAATAAAGCAAGAACTGTATATTACCGCAGTATTTAAACTTTCATGTCAGTTTCATTATGCAGAACCAATAACTACACAGTAGTCAGTAATTGCATCTTAACAGGGCTCTTTTATAGGCAGAACACCTGGAGTTGCATGAAAGCATTCGAATAGGAAGTATAGTGTAGCTGAAAGTCCGATAAGATAATGAAAGTACATGGAATACATGACATGGATCACCCTTAGGATCACCCATACGGTAGATCATGGGATCAAGTCCCTCAGTGCAGACACAGCACTGAACCCTGAGTGAGGTACTTTGCCCCAGTTGCTCCGGTCCAGTCAGCTGTACAGCTGGAGCCTACATTGCTCTCTGGTTCATTTAACAACACAGAAACCAGAGGAGCACTGGCCCATCGTGACACTGTGGCTCCTGCATGGACTTTACTTTGGTGACCTATGCAAGTGCATTGGATTAATGGCCGTGCCTTGAAAGCGTTTATCAGATTTTTAATGTTTCATTTTGTGCCGCCTGTGAGAAGTCTTGTCACAGGAACGGTTTTGGCTCCCGCTCCAGGATCCCTTTCCATTTCACTTCCTATTAGCAAGACAACAGGGCAAAACACGTGACGTGACCCCAGAGGCACCGCAACATCTGCGGAGTGTGGAGAGGCAATGGTCTTCCACTGGAGATGCACTGTAACTTGTAAACCAAAATACACTAGTAAACTGGTGAAGAAGAGGAAAAGAAAACTGAATGAATCTTGTTCACAGCAACTGAAGAAATCAGATTGCAGAGGAAATGAGCTAGAGATCCAGCTTTAAATGCATGTTCAGTCCCTCCGTTCCATTAATTGAATTTTCATTAAATAATGTATTTAAATGATATTTGCATCCTTGCTATTTACTCTGCAGAAACAATTGTAGTTCTGGGCAGCATCAATCCTCCTGTACAAAAAGGTCTTACCAGACTCCTGAACACCACCTGGCATGCCCACTGTGTTGGCAATGGGTCTGACCTTACGGCAAGATGAAATGAATTTTTAAATTGTTCAGTAGTACTGACTGTGGAGTTCTTTTTGATAGCAGACAACAGAAATGAAACTAGAATTTAAAGAAAATAGGTTACCAAGTCTGATTGCTGTTACAACTTGGCTACACCCAGTGTCTATTTCTGTCTCTTGGACCTGTCCCCCTCTGGAGTGGACATCACAGCTGGACACTTTTCCAGATATGCTTCCAAGAATCCAAGCAAGCCGGGTGCCTCAAAACTCACAAGACGGTCCCTCTGCCTCCCACATTTAATGTTAAAAAGTAGACATGCAAAGCTGTAAAACTCCCATTAAATAAAAATGATATCATAGGTTCTAAGGAAAAAGACTAATTTTCCTCATTTCATTCTGCTTTTTGAATCCAACTGCATATTTTTAACGTCAAGTCAATGTAGTGACAAAAATGGTTGTTCTGTAACTGTCTATTGCTGTTCATAATTTTATCAGCACATCAAAAACAAAGCATGGCTGCTTCCCAGATGTCATTTTTGGTCGGATATATTTCTGGAAAACTTCAGAATGTTTTATATTAAGTGCAGACTTTTAACTTTCTTAGCGTGGATTGAAGAAAAGCCTTTATTTAACTCTTCAAAATGATGCCTAGGAGCATTTGTGACAATTTAAAATACATTACTTCTTTAAAATGGCTTCCACATCAGTTTTGTTTTGTAAATTGGATATAGCACTAGAGTACAGAAGAGGATTTAGTGGGGGAGACCTTGTGCAAAGACACTCAGCTGTGATTGAAACGGATGTCTGTATTCCCATCCAGAAACACCACCTCACCCTCACATTAAATGCTTATTGTTAGATTATTAATGCATGTATGTGTCTTGTCAGGGTAAACCTTCTTTAAAAGGCTGACAAGAGTTCCATGGAAAGAATATCTGTAATATCTGGTGTGCTTAGGTCAATAAAAATAGAAATAATAAATAATCTATGATCTATAATTTCCACTAAAGAAGTGCCCATGTACTGAATGTTTTCAAAACAATAGTGTTTAATTCAGAATATGAAGACGTACTATATAGCAAAACAAGTTATAATAAACCATAGAACATGCAAATGTCCTTAAGAAGCAGGCAATAGCAAGTTACAGTATGTGTCTGAAACATGATGCATGCAGAGATCTGTCTAAGTACTACCTAATTTGGCCTCTTAAAAACTTTTTTTTCTCTTGCTTTTTAAGAACTGGCAACGTGGACAACAAGACAGATTTTTCCCAATAACAATGCTTGTTATAAGTTAATATTTTTGTCATATTATTCTTTTAAAATGCTTCAGTAATTAAATCAAATATGAAAACCTGAAAATCCCAAAAAGAACCGGAGTTACAGGTTATTAGCACTTTTACATAACAGTGCAGTTTGAATGCACTGGTATATTTTCATATTTTAGCGAGAATAATGTAACCTGTTTTATATTGCTCTCTTCCAGCTGGGCTTGCAGCCATATTTCTATGGAAAAGTTCATCTTAATCAGCTCAGCCTGTGAGGTTGTAAAGGTTAAGATTTGTCAACAAGTAACTTGTTTTTTAACCAGGGAGAACAAGGAAGAGCCGGAGAAGCAGGGCAGCCTGGTCAGCCTGGAGCTGATGGTAAGCCTGTGAGTACTACGCACTTTCATATCCCAGCATTGTATCATGAATGTATGGCACAGCAACGAGATCATATGCTTTTTCAACGTGCATCACATTTCAAGCAAATGCAAGCAAAATGCAAAAAAACCTTCCCAAAAAGCATGAGGAGAACCTGGAAGGGCATCCTGTTATCAGAGTAGTCTCACTGGTTACGTTTGGTTCAACCGCAGTGAGACTAGACAGAATAGACAGTTTTGCATAATGTTTTTAATAGAACAATATGTGGGTATATACAGTATGACATGAATTATTTTTAGCTTTATATTTTCATCTGAAGCTGATAAGTCAGGGGAGGGAACATCTGAAAGGGCTCAAACAGCAAGTTAACCTTGTACTGCAGTGCATGCCTTCCTCATTCCCCCCCCAACTTGAAGAGCTGCTGGGAGGGATGGTGTAATGTTCACCTGGGACGTCCCAAATAGCGATCTGTCCCTGAAGGCTGCCAACTGAGCAAAACCTTTATCTAAACTGACTTGGAGGGAGAAGGAGACTTCACCCTCCCTGAGGGACAGAGGAGAGCTGATCTGGGGGAAAGTAACCCAAATTTGATGACTGGTACCGTCTTCCCAACTTTGGTAAGAATGTGTCACTGGGAAGATTAGTTTACAGGTTGAAAAAGTAAGTGATATAAAAGGAACAACTCACTTTCTACAAACAAGAGTATGGTCCAGACTATGGTCAGGATTAGTTTTCTTACCAACATGCATTTATATGGCTGTATGAATAATTTATTAATATATTTAATTCATAACAGATTTATAAATGGGATTAGCATCCCATAATCTAAAGTGTACCAGAACTAATAAGTAATATAATGTGTGCACCACCATCTTTATTTCTCAAAATATCTATTAACAAAGCTCAATAAACTGGCTTCTTCATTTATATGGGTGAGGGAGTTTCATAATGAATGCCTTCTTTTAATCCGAGGCAAATCAATATGAAAGAGCTCTTTTGCACACAGTTACGCAGAGACAGGATGATGACATTGGAACAGCAGGATTCCCATCCTGCAATGGGGTGAGCAAACTCCATGTGCTCTTCTCTCTGTAAATTAGCAGACCAAAAATGAAGTTCAAATTGAAGAATATCATGTAATTCCAGCACACCGACATACTTCAGAAAAGGCAATTAAACTGCAGTGGAATTTTACCAGAAATCTTTCTGTACCATACCAAGAAGATTTTGAAAATTAAAGTACCTAAGACTGAAATGCAAACAGTTTCATCCTGCAAATACAGCATTTTGCAATGAACAATGGAACAAAGCTTGTATTTGTTCAAACGGGGCCTTAGTGTTTAAAACTGAATGTGACAGTATTCAGTAATTCAGTCATCAAGCAATCTTTATAGAGCTTTGAGATAGATGGACATTGGCAAAAAACTGCCTTTACAAAGTTCTAAATATGACGGAAATGAAAACACCTCCTGCTGTCAGACACTAGTCCATGAAGATGTCCCAGAAGGACCTATTAGGTTAGTGGCTAGGCAGGCATACTAAACTATTTCTGTGATGCATACTATACAGTATATGAGGAGATCTGTGCCAGATTTTAAAGTAAGCAATGAAAAATCCAGTGTAATCCTTGTTATAAGGAGCTCATGTTTCTCAGAACTATTTACATACCATGGACATCTCGTGCTAAACAGCTTGAGAGTATGCTTCTTAAAGACATTGTAATACTTAAATAATCTGAGCTCAGTAAAATATAATTCAATGCTCTGAACAATGAAATAGAACCACTGGCTTGGCGTAGGGTTATTAAAACAAGTCATTTCATTTGCACTTGAATAATTTAATTTATAATTTCTAATACAGTATATACTGAATTATATTTAGTATATACTTAAGGAATTATTAATGGGATGTGAAAAAGATGCAGATGTTTCTTATTCCACAAAGATAAAACACAACTATAGAGAAGGAAATTTTGACTCTTTAAGCCTAGAATTCATGCCATAAAATTCACATTATATTGAAATGTCTTAAATTTGGTAGGGGGCGGATGGTCATTGTTTCCATTAAAGCTGCTATACATCTGCCCTTGGGGATCAGAACTGGATGAATCATGAAGGAAAAATAAATTATTTCTGTGGACATTTGTAGGCTTTCAATTTGGCTTTCTTCATCCAGTACTTTTCTGGAGAATGAGTCACATTTTACAGTGATAGGCTATGGCACACAAATGTGGAAAAGGACTTTTTGTAAATATTCACAAAGGAGCACTGAAATACTGTAAATACATAAATGGAAAAAAACCTGGTTCTCGTGCACTAAAAGTGCTAACTGCTTTAGCTGCTGTACAGTATGTTACACTATAGAATATGCAATGCAGCTGGGAACAGTTCATCTCTGAAAACAGTAGCATTTATTGAACATTCAATAATGTAGTTGCATTGTAAATTGTAGTTGCATTATGATATTTATATTACTGTGAAGTGATTTAAACAGTAAAATATTTTGGTTACTGGTAAAGAATTGATATTCTTATCATCTGTCTCCCTCAAAATTCTTCCTTTTTTCTTCACTGTATTTAATACATTATAACTGTAAGCTTCAGAACACATAATTCAGGCCATCCTGTCCATTAGGTTTCTAGGAGGTTCTCAACTTTACAAACTCAAGGAGTAACTTTGTAAAGATCAGCAGAGAAACTGTACCTACATCATGTTCCCTTGCTGTATTTGTTACACTCTAAAACCTTCATAAAGCAAAGTGTTTTGTGGTGTACTTCTGTATTGACCTGATGCTCACATTTGAACTTTCTGTCTTAGGTTTTGTTTCCCACGTTTCCATTTTAGGACTCGAGAATCCGATTGTGAGTCATGTATGTGGGCTTTTAGCTCCAAATGTTTCAAGCAGTTTGTTATAATCTTTAAGGTCAAGTGTTTCTAAAGGAGTCTTTGTATGTGCACGAGCTGTGAGGCATCATGCATCTGTAAACAGTAACAGTAACAATGCATCTCATGGTACTAAACAGAAGAATTAGTATGTCCTTTTAAAAAAAAGGTTATCAAGTTTACTTTTGCATTAAAATAAGCAGGGGGAGTAAAATGGACAGCTAAATATAGTTAAATGTTGAAATTTGACTATTAAAATAGACTGTAAGTCACACTCAAGAGCAAGGAAGTAATATTCATACTGTTTCTCATTCGTCTGAAATTCTAAACACCTCAACCTTTTCATGGTGGACTATCATCTCAAAAAAAAAATAAGATTTCTGTGCACTTTCACTTCATCATAGACATTTAAAGGACTCTAAACAACACTGGTCATTATTAACAGAATACTCCTAAGTATGCCTAAATAAAGTGAGAACTGTAAGTGAACTTTTGTTGATGACAAAGCAAAAAGGAAAAAACATGAAATTAATCATATCTTCTGGACTGTATTCCTAATCATAAAAAAAGGTTCTTATTTGGTCTGTTGTCATAATCTATTTTTCCAGCTTTTAAAGAACAGCCTCAGTTTCCAAAAAGATACAGTGTAATAATAATGCTGAGTAGACAATTCTATTAATAGTAGGCATAAGAAACTGGTTTGATTTATAATTAAGTCCTTCTTGTTTTCCATTCAACATCTCATCCTAATGTATTTGATGAAACAGCAATGTTTCAGAACAGGCTGAGTACAGTAGCTTCTTCCAAACACTCACAGCCCTTTGAGTGAAGATGCAGCACATATTTCCAGACTAGCAGTGTCAACTAGCAGTGTACACTACAAACACTGAGAGGCACTTTATATGCAAGCTAAGCAAAGGAGTCAAGGTAATTAAACAATGTATATTCTTTACTGAAGAACATTATTTAAGCATTGCTCAACTATGTTTATGAAATGTACTGTTTTATAAAAAATGAATAAGAATCACAGCACATACAGAAATCATCACATTATATATATATATTATTACAGTATAAATATTAAACCTATTGTTTTGGAAATGTTCCCATACTAACATGCATTAAAAGAAGGACCACTAAATGACAGTGTCACTATGTCAGTTTTAATTTTAGTGCAACAGGCCTCAACAATACAGTTAATAAATTCACATCAAAGATAACTTTTTGTGTGCAACTTACACTTCTAATTTGGGAAGCATACAGTACTTCCATATGTCCAGAACAGAATATTTTACAACAGAAGGTACTTCAGAAGCATGCAAGATTTATTTTAAAAGTTACAACAGTGTTGTTTTACACAGTATACTGTATGTGTAAAACAGCATAGGCTGTGGAAAATGTGGAATTATCTGCTAGTGTTGCTTTCTGTTTCTATATTAATTCTTTTGCAGCCAGAAATCAATCAACAATGATTACATGGTTATTAATGTTTCTCTGTTCTATTTCTTCATGCATAACTGTGATAAAGAATCTGAGCTCTCTGCTATAGTGTTCTGCGTAGAGTGAATCATTGGACTTGGCATAACATGGTCATTCTCTTTCAGGTTATTGATTACTTTGGTGTAGCCTCCCCAGAGATGCTTAAGAGATTCAGTTCTTCTCACCTGTCCACAAAGCAGAAACCTTACCAATACCAGTTTTTTTACGTCTTAACAGGGGTGCAGTGGGGTAACAGTCTAATATAGTTTCCTAGCCTGTTTCAAAACACGAGAAGAGTCCAGAATGAAAAGTCGTTTTTCAGCTCAGCGCCAGTGTTGCCACAGTCCTGTAAACCACAGAGGACCTAGCACAGCACTGGGCTGATCCTGAGAGGATCCAAGTGGACTGGAACCAACAGAATGGTTTGGGAATTTCTTCCCAACATTAACCACTGTCTGCATGAAGTTAAAAAAAGGAGTATTCCTTAATCAGTTTTGATTCTCCTTTGATATTTTTGCTTCCTCTTCACTGCTGGAGTCAATTTACTTTTTTTTTCCCCCCAATGTGGCGCTCGAAACATTTAGCAAAAGAATCATCTCACAATAGGCCACAGCAATAATGACGCACAAAAAAAGTAAGCCAACCTAGCAAAGTTTAAAATTTAAATGTACATTCTATATAAATACCCCACAGTTTATAAGGTTATATTCAAAATCTAAGTTGATGATAAACAGCAACAACAGCTTCAATTCTGTTTGCAGGACAAATTTGACAGTTCTGGGATTGTTTAGGTTGATCTTCTTTGAATCGCCAGTGTGGTTACCTAAACTAAAGACAGTGTTTTAAAAAGAGTAACCACAGAAGCAATATGCAGAAATTGAATTACTGATCTGGATCTGATCAAAAAGTGGCTTTTGTAATATTATTTTTTAAAATCAATTATTTTCTCAAATATATTATTTATTTTCTCGTACTTTGCATTATGACAAATCCCACACAAGCACTGATGAAAAACCCAACTTCCCCATGATCAGAGCTGCAGTAAAAAAACACATTTGGAAGAACAGCCAAGATTAAAAACCCCCATCATATCTAAAAGTGTGCTGGCAAAATGCAGCTGATGAAACATTACTGTATAACCCTAATAAAAACAAACAGTCTGTGTCCTGAATTTTGCACATGTAATAATAAATCAGTAAAGTAATTTATCATATGGTAACAAAGCATGATGAGTGCATGATAATCCCTGATAGATATGAAAACCACACATGATAAAAGGAAGGAGATGGAGTTAAACCACAGTGTTTCCTTGAATTACAAAGACACTGTACTGTGCACCTAACGCCCGGCTTAGAGAAGGAGCAGAACTCAGTAGTAAAACACTTCCATTCTTCCATTTTTCAATACATAAATGTTCTATACTATACAGTATGAGGGTGTAGTTGAAGATTTCACTGATTCATAGAAACGATACTGTACACACTCTGTGATACAAACTCCATTATGCTTCATTTGATTTGTTAGTTTTTTGGCAACATCCTTTAGGAAGCAGCATTTTAACCATTGCCTCTTCATCACTATGCTTTCATCGCCACAATCTACAGAATTCTTTTTATTTCATGTCTTAGCACTTCCTAAAGTGAGCTCTGCCCTCTTGTTCTTGCTTGGGAGTTTTCACAATTCTGCCATGATGAAAGATTCCCCTACATGTCTTTTCACATACTTGTTTTTTATTTGGCTATCCGATGTTGTGGAAATTGTTTGATCTGATATTTCTGATTTTTTATTTTATTTTGACCCGCTCTTGACACCTAGCAGTTCTTTTTTTTCCAATCAACTGGTGGGTTATTTTACTCCAGTTCTTAAACAATTAAGGCATAAATTGGTATGAAGTTTACTAAGAAAGAATAAAGTGCAATTTAATTTTAAGAAAAAAACATCAACCTTTAAATCATGAAAATCATTTAAATCTATGTGTAAACAAAATACAACCCTTTGGTACTTTATATAGCGTAAGAAATGATACCAAGTGAAGAGTGGATCTTAACAGAATTTTAAATCTTATTTAAAGTTTTATTTTTATTTTCATTTCGCAGGGGGCACCAGGACTGTCAGGGAACCCAGGGCTTCAGGGTACAGCAGGCATTCAGGTATTAAAAGCACATCCAGCATTCTTGTGCGACAAAGTACTAAAATACACAATTATACATTAGACTGCCAGTAGCCGTATCACCCTGCAGCTCACTGCTGGCGGCCCACTGAAGCTTAGGAGGTGTGAGCCTGGCCAGTACCTGGATGGGAAACTCCTGGGAAAAACTAAGGTTGCTGCTGGTAGAGGTGTTAGTGTGGCCAGCAGGGGGCGCTCGCTCTGCGGTCTGTGAGGGTCCTAATGCCCAAGGACAGTGACGGGGACACTGTACTGTAAAAAGGCACCGTCCTTTGGCTGAGACGTAAAACTGAGGTCCTGACTCTCTGTGGTCATTAAAAATCCCAGGGCGTTTCTTGAAGGGTAGGGGTGTCCTGGCCAAATTTCTCATTGGCCTTTACCAATCATGGCCTCCTAATAACCCCAATCTCTGAACTGGCTTCATCACTCTGCTCTCCTCCCCACTGAGAGCTGGTGTGTGGGCAGACTGGCACATCATCCAGGTGGGGCTGCACACTGGTGGGGGTGGAGGGGATCCCCATTACCTGGAAAGCGCTTTGAGCGGCGTGTCCAGAAAAGAGCTATAGAAGTGTGAGCAATTATTATTAGTCTCAACTGACACAAACGTAAATACTGTTTTTTTTGTCTTCTAGGGACCACGTGGGGCCCAGGGATACAAAGGAGAACCAGGAAAGCCTGGCGATCCGGTAGGAAGTGTGAAAAGTAAACTAATTTGAGGTGCAGTAATCAAATTACTGGTCCAAGTGACAAATTTATTACACCAACACATGTTTACAGTTTTTTTTTAAAACCATGACCACGCGAGCCACTGACATTCTTGGAGTAACTCTCTATTCCACATTGGTTTTAGGATTTATAGGTTACTCATCATAAATCTCTCCACTCCTTTTTTTGGTAGTAACTTCTTTACCCGTTATTGAAGAGGAAAAATGGAATTTGTTGTAACACGTTTACAAATTGACTTGACCAACCACTAACCTTTGCTAATAATGCTCTTGCTATAATTTTCCCCACACCATTGCACTTAAAAGATTGTATATGTTGTGAAAGATATTTGTTAACAGTAAAAGTTGAGTCTCTAATGAAAGGAACACATGTCAGACATACCCCAAGGCTCTATTCAATATATATTATTGTCTATGTATCCATCCATACATCCATTTTTCTAACCATTCAGCACTATCCAGAGCCATGCCTATACCAGCAAGCAATGGGCAAAATGCAGGAGACATCTTAGACTGGATGCCAGTCCAGCACAGGGCAAGCACACACAGACACTCACACCAGTGCCAGTTTTCCAGAAGCCAATTAACTTCCCCGCATGTCTCTGGACTGCAGGAGGAAACTGAAGCTCCCGTAGAAAACCCATGCGAACAAGGAGAGAACATGCAAACTCCACACAGACAGCGCCCCAGAGTTGAGAACTAAACCCAGAGCTCCAGCACTGCATCACTGCACTGCCTTTTCCATAAATCCATTAATCCTAATTAACTACCACATGCTCAGCTGAACCTAGACTCTAGATTTAACACATTTACCACCAACACTCGCCAACTGCCCCTTACTGTTCCTCATTTTTAGAATTAGCCTTTAGAATTAACTAGTAGAAGTTGTGTTGGTTGGTGTTTTCTGGGACAGACGGATTAAGTTGTTAATCCTTATTATGATTAATAAGAATGTTGGATTTCAATTGCCAGACATAAAAATATATTTGCTAATTATAGGGTCAAAGGGGGATGCCAGGAGTACCAGGGCTGTCAGGTCTGCTGGGAGAAAAGGTAAAAACTCCTTGATCGTTTTTCCGAATCGGGTACGGTACTCGAAGAATCACTTTTTTGGAATATATGAAATACATTCACTATGTTAGGATGCTTAACTAGCTTATTTTCTGTATTATAGCAACTTTTCTGTCTAGTACTCATTTCATATTAGAAATGATGAATACATCACCGTTTAATGGTAACTTAATGATAGTTAAGGGCAGCTCGTAACAGACAACAAGAGGCATATAAATTTGTAAGTGATTTATAAACCACGAGGAAACTTCAGACATTCTGGGAAGAAAGCCTACAGCATCCATCTGTTAAAAGTGTAAAGCATGTTATATATCTTCAAAGCAGTGGCGTTGTTTGTTTTTTCCAGTTGTTAATTTTCAGATGTGGTATACACACACTAGTATAAGAAGTTTTTTTTAATATGTCATGCATTTTCTCAGAAACTGTCTCTTGACCACACAGGAATGCCATGTGAGATAAAAAAGTTCATTTTCAAATGCTGTAAATTCACATAAAACTCCACTATGAGAACGCATTGTCTCAATGTGCACCTTTAAAGAATCAACAAAAGATGCTGTTGTGGGAGGGAGGTGATGGACATTACATTATAAAGTGATGTCATAGAAAGGCATACAGTGTTCCACAGTTGTGTCAAAGCAAAACTGCGCCAAACTGTCTTTTTTTTATGCATTAAGAATGAGTTTCGTCACATAAAAAACTCAGAAAGAGCACTGCTGTCCCTTAAAGCACTAAATCTCCTTAGCCAGCAAAACAAGAAGACTAATTTCTTCACTGTAAAACCACTGTTTCTTCATTGAGAAACATAAAAAGGCACCCTATTTAAAAACAATTAAAATATAAATAAACATGCTTTCAACTTTGATTTTCTTTTTAAATATGCAAAAAGTCAGTACAGTTTCATTATAAATATATATAAAATATTGCACATTTCCCACCTAATTTAAGTCAATCATCTCAATTAGTGTGGGTTGAGTACTAAAACCATCCAAGACTAAAACAAAACTCTGCCAGGACTTCCTATTCATATGAGGCAGTGTATTATGGTTGATCAGGTCAGGCAAACACTACAGAAAGTATCGACTGTTCAGTAGCAAAATGCAAGGCTACACCTGACAGTGGGTTTCTATAAGGTGAGCACAAGACTGTGCCAGAGATTTTAATATTACCATTAGAGCTTCCGATAGTTGTTCTCCTTAGGCACTTGTTTTATGGCATATGTGAATTTCATTTCTCAAAGTCTGTTATTTCAACAGCTGTTCGATTTCTGCTTCCATCTCTTTTTCAGGGTGCTCAGGGCCAAAAAGGAGAAGCTGGACTGCCTGGCATCAATGGGCAAACTGTATGTACATAAACCTGAGGGGAACTTTATTTTCAAATGTCTCCCTAGGTTAGCAGCTGAAGAAGCAGATCTTTTGTCTTGTAAAGCTGCAATAATAACCTATACTCAACATAATACCTATAAATGCTGCATGTTCGTTTCTTTAGTGTATTGAATTTTCTTTTTTGCATGTGTTTTTATCATTAAACTTTTCCTTAAACTTTTCCTTATCATTTCCTTAAACTTGTTCTAATGTTTCAGGGAGAAAAAGGAAACAAAGGATCGGCAGGGCCTGCTGGTCTCCCAGGACTCCCTGTACGTATGACACCATGCATTAAGGTTGATCGAGTTCTGCACACCTACAGCCTTTAGTGACGTGTCCACCATTCTCTACTCAGGGACAGCCCGGCCGAAATGGACTAGACGGAGCACCAGGAAGTCCAGGTCAAAAGGTATGCATGGATTTGATCTTCTCTGCACGTAACAGGAAAGCAGCACCATAAGCAATTATAATATGCATGACCACTATCTTGTACACTAAGTGGGTCTTATCACTACAAATAATGTGGTATTCGCTAAGACAAATGCATCTTATTAAGACACATACTGTACCACGAGTGTCCAGATATACAGTGTACTAGGGGGCTTAAGAATGCAGGTTGTGCACAATGATCCAGATGTTTGTTGCTGGTTTGAACTTGGGAGTTGTCGTTAGTAAATTGTGACCAGGATTTTTCTAGAAATAGTTCCACCAGAACTGGTTAGGATTACCAGTGAGACTTTTACAATGAGAGGCAGATTTTACTTTAGCTTGTGTTACAGAGTTTGTTCTTAATCTCACAGTACAAGTAGGTTCTTAAACTGAATCTGTTCTGCCATGCAATTTTTATGGTAATTAACAGCAAATCTGTACTATGCAGGAGTGAGCCAGAGTGGATATTAGGAAATTAAAATTCACAGAATTTTTCTTCTCATCAAAACAGAGGTCTGCTCCACATTATGCAACAGTAATAATTTATTTTATAAAATTCTGTAATTGTAATAGTTTAGCCAATTGTTTCCTCTTTGTCCTTTCTCAATTTTGCAAATGTATTCCATTTTGAAATGCACCAAGGCAGAAACAATATCAAGTTTTCTTTTTTATTATTATTAACAAGGTGTTGAATGAGTACAATATACTGTACTATATGTGTTGTATATTAGGGCCAGGCTATGCTCTTTTTCTAATCTCTCCATTGTCCGATTTCTGACTTTTCAGGGTGAAATTGGAAAACCTGGAATCCCTGGTGTAGATGGGCTTCGTGGGCATCCAGTGAGTTTTTTTATTTGCAATCTGAAGGATTAAGTGTTCAAAGAATTACAAAATAAATTAAATTCATTATGTTTAGCACCATTATCAACCAGTATTAAAATGTCCTAGGAAAAGAAAAAGAACAAGTAAAAATGTAATTTGGTGTTTCAAACCACAGGAACACAGGGGCATATTTGGCCTTGGGCTTTCAAGGGCAATTATTGCAGAAACGGGAACTCAATAAACTTATTTTTCTTTTAAAAAACTTTTTATAACTTGGACGAAAGAATGAAAAAAAATTCTGGAAGACCAAACTGCAAGAGAGATAAATTCTCATTTACTTGTTTAGTAAGCACATTTTTGGATCTCTTTGCTTTATTCATTGAACGCCAAAGCTAAAACAGAAAATTGCATAAACAATGCAGTGTCCTGGGCCTGATGAACAGCGCAAAGAGTATCATTGCTTGTCGTCCACACGACCACAGCAGCGCTGCTGAGGGTGAATATTAATAGCCGTTTTCGCTATTCATTCTCACTTGGATATGAAAGTAAACCAATGGAACTGTAATCTGATGACTAATTCATGGATTTGGCAATTGGATTACAACATCATGTCTTCATTATAGTCCTGGTAACAATCACAGAGTTGACTCTAGGAACCCTTATCGATTTACCCAACCTTCACCCAGAAACTCAAGTTTGACAATATCATTGATTTAAAGCGAGAAGGAAAACAAAGCCTTCAAGCCTAGCATGGTCTGTGAAAGATGAAAACAAGATTCTTATTCTGTTTTTTTTCTTTGTTTAGTTTTAAAGTTCTTCAGTCAAACAAAGTCAGATCCAAAGCAAATCAGTGTTTTCTGAGCTCCCACAACTTAATTCATCTCAGATGCTTTAAAAGAAACATTGCTTTATTTATTCTTTTTCTTGCCCACAGAAGTCGTTTTTTTTTACTTAGTCGTATAGAACAAAACTTACAGACACCCAGTGGAATGTCAGGAACCAGATCACACACTTATGAGTTAGTCTTGGCATAAACAAATCCAACACATTGAAGTCAAAATGATCAATCTGTCACCTGGGGTAGAAGACCTACTGTACTGCACAGCTGATGAACAAAAACACTCATTTTCAACATTTAGCTCCCACTTTAAATAAAGCAGATGTATTGAATGATTAACATTACACTGAAGGTGAAGTCTGAGATGATATACAGTATATTGTAGGTGAAGTTTTAACAAGCTGTTTCTTCAAATGTAAATAAACTCCATGTCATACCAACAATTCTGATGACCCTGTATGCAGTACATGTCAAAGCACCAAACAATCTTCAAAACCTATCTTTGAAAAATACCGCATCCACCAGCTTTAGCTGAAGCTTTGATAAGTGCAGTGCTTCTCAAATGGGCATAAACATTGTTCAGTCTGCTTCACCAAAATCACAATATTCACTATTATACCTCTCTGGTTATGTATACAGGTGTGAATGAGAACTTTATTGAAGTATGATGGAAAACCACTGTCTCTTCCATTTACCAAAAAAAGTATGACCTGATAAAGCAATTCATGGCACTGTACTTGCACACTGAATAGCTTCTGGTTTCTCTGAACACTGTTCCCCTGTTCTTTGAAACAATGCAGATATTTGGTAGGCTCCTTTATTCATTTTAAGCCGGGGATACAAATATCTTTGCAACCTCGAACAGCCAAGTGTCTCTTCTTCAAAAGGTGTAACATACATTTATAACCTCCTTGTAAGTATATTTATTAAAGATGTCAGATACATATACCCTGTACATGTATGCACTTGTATACCGTATTTACCTTCATATATAATATTTATGCATGTACTTATACCTCATCTGTGTATCTTATATGTAAGCTTCTAACAATAGGAAACTAAACCCATGAAGAAGGGAAATGTGTTGCCCAATTTATTTATATTTTAAGGAAGTGTGTATGTGAAAACCTTTATATTATTTAGAAGAATATAAGAGTACATTTAGAGAAGTAGCTGTTAGGAGTAGTGGTTAGGGCTCAGACAAGGACATTTCTAAAAAAATGTCCTGCTATGTTTGCATGTACAGTATATGCATGACGCCCTCAGATACATAAAGGGTTAAATAACAAATACTCTCAGCTAATTTATCATACAACACACATAACTTTCACAATGATACACCTTTAACAAAAGGAAGACATGTCCCTGCCATCATATTTAATTTAAGGCATATAAAGAGGCTATTCCTTCTGGGATGCTGCTACAGGTAGATTAATGAAACTCAGGAGAAAGAAAGAGGAATATTGCTTTCATTCCCAGCCTCGCTGTACATGTGCAATAGTTCCTGAATGTTTAAATGTTACTGCATGTGCAATATAAATAAGAGTGACTTCTTGGTTTAGCTAAGAGTTTTGCATTGCTCAAAGTTTTGAACAGCTTATTTAGATATTGTGAAGAACTCTTCCAAAATAACATTCCAGGGAACCTGGGGCTGGATCCTCAGATGAGTTATTAACAAGTGTTCAAAACTGGGCCAATTGGCCTGTCCCTTTCTGTGACCCTTCTTATTCACCTTTTTGCATTGCCTCTTTTATCACATGTGCTTAGTAGAGAGTGGACTTCAGGTTCAGCTGACTTCTTAGCTGGATGGAGATTTAATTGTGGGACCTCACTGGTGGGTGAGCTCATTAAAATCTGTGTGGAAAATGCTCGGTGTGCTTCCTTTCAAAGCTGTATTAAATCAGTACTTGATGGCATTTCTTCCATATTTGAAGAGGTGATATTTTGACTCGAAGCACTCTGCATGAGCTGTTAATTTAAATGACTTTGAAGCAGGAGATATGCATTTCTTTAAAATGCTGCAGATTTTAGCTATTAGATATAGGTAGATAACTGTGTTTCATCAATCACAGGTTTATCATATCCACAAAATGTACTGACCCTCTTCCACAGTATAAACATTTTATTTGTACTTTCCTCACCTATTTATTTTGCAAGATACTGCTGTTTTATTTTACTTATATCTTCTGTAACAAAAGAACCGATATAGCAAAAACTTGCCATTACAGAAACTGAGATATCATCAGTCCATCTCTGATCATGATCTTTCTAGAAAGAGACGCTTTAAAACAGATCCAGGTTTTTGCAGATTTAGAAACTGAATTAAGAATTATTTTGCAAGGTCTTTCCATGGTTTCTTTATAATCCCCTCAAGACAAAAAATGTGAAATTGCCAAACATCTGCACCAGTTTATCATCAAAAATGACCAGAAAGCTAAAACGTCTTGAGAATGTTCATATTAACTTAATATGCTTAACTAATTACAAATATATAGTTTTCAACTGTTCATTTAGATCTGATGCATTTTTCATATGGTTCCATTTTTTCAGGAGTTCAAAAACAAAATAAAAATTTGATGCATTTCCCATTAGTCCACTTCCATAAAGGCTGCAGAACAATAATGCTCTATTCAGCAGTACGATTTCCAATAGCCTCCAGACCAATGGCAGTCAGACCATATTAAAACACATTAACACACTCTAAAGTGTAAAGGCGAAAGTGTGCCATTGTGACTGTTCTGCTATATTCCCTTTAATAGTTTTATAATCAGAATAACACATTCATGTACCACCTAGGAAAAAAGTTTCTGCAGTGTATACTTTACTTTTTATGTCTGCTAAGTTAAATATTTTCTGATACAACTTAAATGAATGACCTATGATCTGTTGTGCAGCTTGCAATATTTAAAGGCGTTTAATGAAATTCGGTAGTTCATTCAAACTCTAACGTGACAAGACACAGGAATTACTACTGTATAGGGACAGAGTGTTGATTTGTTTTATGTCCCCCGGCTGAGAAGACAGCCTGACAGGAACCTTGTGGACGACAACCCCCAGCAAGAGATCACAGGAACCCCATAACATGAGTCTGTCAATGGCCTGACTCTGGTCGGGTGGTTGAGCAGAAGGGTCCAGCTACACAAGGGCTCGGGGATGTAGGGCTGGGTGGTCGAGCTTGGAGTCTGCATGGTGCTGTGGTCGATGGAGGAAGTGACCAACAGCTATGGGGCTGCGCTCGGGTGTCATTAACCTGATGTGGAAGTGGTGTAGGAACCAGCAGCAAGAAGCGTCTTGCCGTAGCGCGTCAGTGAATGAACGGAATGACAGAGAAAGGTAGTGATGGTAATAAATCAGCTGCCGAGCCTAATGGTGGAATCGTGTCGAATCAAGCTTGAATGCACACGCTCTGGGTTGTCTGGTCCAACCGGTACAAGTGAATGAGTGAAGATCGATTCCTACTTGAATCTCCAAACTAGCAGCCAAATCCACTGTCCTTGAGGGCAACTGGGTAGGGTCGGAGTTACGCTTGTGGGGGTCTCCACCTGGGCTGCAGGTGGCTGCCCGGGAGAGGAGAGGCACCGGCTGGACGCCAGCTGTGGGCAGACTGGAGAGAGCGAAGCGGTCATGACTGCTACTGGGGCAGTGAGGGCTTGAATGGGGAGCCATCATGCAGAGCAGACTGACGCTCTCTCACCAATGGGGAAAACACACCTGTTGGTCGCATAGAAGTGGGGGCTGTAAGCTAAGAGGTGGCACACAACTCATCCAGGGTGCTGTCCATTCACGTATTTACAGTGTAATCGCGGGGGAAGGTGAAAAACAGCCGCGTCTGACGAGCAGGTCTCGGGCAACGGGGAGGCTTGTCTATTTCCTTTCAACCCTACACTTTTCGTTACCAAAAACATATTTGTAATCGTTTCCCAAAATATTGCAAATACAACTGATCTCCAATATCCCCCCAACACGACCGTTAGGTTTGTTTTCACTGCAGTGAAACGATTTCGTGATAAACAATCAACAGTGTATTGCTGACAAACAGCACTTTAGACAGAAGCGGCGCAACGGTTGAATAATACAGTATATTTTACCAGCAAAACCAAAACACAGTATCACATACTACACTGTATATCACAAAACACAAAACAACCTTGGCTTTTCAGTAAGTAGATGCATCAGAATA